GTAAAAGGGGAATAAAATTCTTTAATGGTGCAACTTGATATATATGTGATATGATACAGGAATGAAGTTTAGACACCTATAAATGGTATGGATAACAATGCCCTTTCAAATTAGGTAGACCATACAATGTGTCAGCCAAACTGAGAAACTTAAGAATAAAGAAGTGTTATTCATCATTAGGAAAGTACAACAGATAGAAAGCAGGTCTCTCTGGGATAAGCTAGGACATATGCTCACTGTACCTAAAGGAAAAACGCTTAAATATTGAGGTTTCCAACTTGGCTTTTGACAGGAAGCAGAATCACAGGCATTCCCTGCTTCCTACCTAGAAGATTAGTTCTTGAAGGAAGGGAACTTTGTATCCCTATCACCTAACTTCCTGAGAAGAATCTCAATTTGTAGTTCTTGATGAACATATACAAGTGGAGAGTTGGACAAAGACAAATGAATTCCTCATTTGAAGGAATGAAGAAAAGAGATCTGGCTAGTAATGATCTGTCCTTTGCAAACTTGAGTGCCATAAATCACCTGAAGTGTGGTAAACTGTAGATTTTAACTCAGTAGGTCTGTGCTGGGCCCAAATTCCATATACAGTATCCCCTGGAAGTCGCTGAGGCTGTGGGGCCTTGTCCTGCGCTCCAAGTAGTGAATCCAAACAGCTTACCTTCATGCATAGAGGGACTGATGTTTTTATTAGGGGCGAAGGGGGAAAAAGATGAGATTGAAAGAAATACAATAAATCTGGGCTTGACTAATAGGGCTACTCTCCAACCATCCAGATGAGTTTTCCCATCTCTCTTAACTCCTATCACACAGAGATATGAGGCTGGTGCAGGGTTTATAGAGTTTTTCACTTACTGAGCAGGACCAGAAAATAATGGGACATTCATGAGATACTATAGATTATTCAAGTGTCAGTCTTATGGGATTTAAAGTCATACTGTAAAGTGATAAAGAGATAAAAGTCAGAGGCCAGCTGGCGATTGGGGTTTAATCAGTAAGAACCAAGACTCTGCAATCTTCCTTCTGGGTAACTGTGAAAGGCTATGAAATAATTTCCTTGTAAAGACATCAGCACTCCCTCCCATGTTCGTTACATTATTCACAATAACGAAGACATCAAACTAACAGTCCGTCAGCTAATATATTTGTACACAATCAGTCTTAAAAAACAAGGAAATTGTGTCATTTTCTACCAGGTAGTTGATGTTTGCCACAATTTATTGTTTTTGGTGATGCAGAGTTAGACTTAAATACTGTGGAATCTAAACATGCTTATTAAATAGATCTAGATGATGGCTGAAAAAAGTATCACTCTTGGTGGTTAAAGTTACCCAAAATGAGAGAGCAAGGAGGAGATCAGTTTGAATAGAAAGTTTCCCAAACATAAGAATAACATAATATAAGAACTGCTTATATCCCCTCCCCGTCCCCATGCTTTCTGGTATACCTGTAAAATAGTGCTTTTAAAAAACATGGGGTTTATAATGGAAACATTAGATGACTGAAAATGGAATCACTAAGATGACAAATGCTTGGGGCAATCTTGTCAATGTTTGGAGAAAGTGTCTTTAAATTTAACTGTTGCTTGTGATACTACCGTTGACATCCAGTGAGCAGAGGTCAGCAATGCTGCTCTATGTCCCACAGCCCTTGAGACAGCCCTTCATCACAGGAATTATGCAAATGCCAATGGTGCTGAGTCAGAGAAAGTAGGCTCTAAGAGAAATTTCCAATGTGCTCACAAATGACTGCAGAACTCATGCATTAATATATTGATGTTCTGTGTAGGAATCACTCATATATCCAGCACATGCACCTCTGTTCTCTGGAATGATGATCTGTCTGGAGCTTTTGATTTTTTTCACGTTAATTATGATTTCTTGTGGCTGAGAACTTATCCACAGGATTGTAGGAGATTTTCTAGATAAGTCACTTGCATGCACCGTTTGAATATGAAGAGATATTTTAAAAGATTATAAACATATTGATATATTCACCACACACCCAATTATATATAAATACTTGTTAAAATGATTATAAATTTAAAGATCTTTTTATAGTGTTTTAAAATTTAAGTGGTATAGACACTTTCTAGTGTTTAGCATTTCAGGTGAAAATCTCTTTTTGAAATATAATTATCCATAAACTTCTTTATATTGTGCTTGTGGACAAAATTTTCATTTTAGCACTGATATTTCATTATGTAGGAATAAAATATTGATACTGTATTGGAAATATAAGCTCAGTTTCAATAACTTTTCCCACTTCTAATTACTTTGTCCTGAAAGATATTTCAATAGCTCTTGCTTAAAATGAAGAACCCGTTCCCTAACATATACTAATCTACCCACTTTCCTCCAGCTTGTCTTCTTTCACACCTTAGCATGCTCCTTGGTTCCTTCCTCCTCCAATGCCTTCTAGCTTTGGTGCCCTGCCCCCTTATCCACCCCATCTTACTCAACATGTTTTGTCAAATGCACTTCAGCAGTGATTTTTTTTATGAAAAGAAATCAGTGGGGCACTATTATTGCCCTTATTACCTAATAAAAGTTTTCTTTTAAGACTCCTTTTACATGGTGATATTTACCTATATTACTCCTCTTGCTTTTAATTTTACAAGTGGTACTTAAGGCTCTGCCCTACATTTACTGCTTATATTTAACTTCCAGCTCTATCACTTGGCAGCTCTCTGAACTGGGAAAAATTGTCTTTTTCTCAGATTCTAGATCATTTAATTTTGCATAATGGAAGTATCTACTGTGAGTGTTTTTTCTAAACAGACTCTTTTTAAAAAATAGTTTTGGATTCACAGCAAAACTGAGCTGAAAGCACAAAGCATTCACATGTACCCTGCCCCAAAATATGCATAACCTTCCCAATTATCAGTATCTTCTATCAGAGTGGCATTTCTTAAAACTGATGAACCTACACTGATACCTCATCACTGAAGTTTACACTGGAATTCACGCTTGGTAGTATGTACCTCATGGGTGTGGAAAAATGTATCCACCATTATAGCATCACACTGAGTAATTCCACTGCCCTAAAACCCACTCCTCCTCCACCTTTTGGTTATCACTGATCTTTTTCCAGAGTCAAATCCGACAGTACGTAGCCTTTTCATACTGGCTGTTGTCACTTAGTAATATACGTATCAGTTCCCTCCATGCTTTCTCAAGGTTTTATAGATCACCTCTTGTAATGCTGAAAAATATTTCCTTGCACAGTTGTAGCACAGTTTATTTATTCTTCACCTACTGAAGGGCATCTCAATTCAAGTTTTAGCAATATGAATAAATTTTCTATAAACATTTAGGTGTACGTAATTGTGTGTATGTAATTTTCAATTCCTTTGGGTAAATACCAAAGAAAGCTAATTGTTGGAATATATAAAAGGAGTATGTTTTCTAAGAAACCACCAAAATCCTTGCAGAATGGCTGTAATGATTTTGCATTCCCACTAGCACGAATGAGATTTCCTGTTGTTCCACATTTTTGCCAGAATTTATTATTGTCAGTGTTCTGGGTATTGGAGTGCAGTGACACCTCATTGTTATTTTAATTGCATTTCCCTAATGACATGACATATGACCATGAGCATGTTTTCATATGGTTATTTGCACCAGCTCTGGGAAGGTATTTATTAAGGTTTTTTGAACAGCTTTTAAATGGTTTGCTTTCTTATTATTGATTTTAAAGTTCTCTGTGTGCATTAAATTCAATCCTTTATCAGATATCTTTTACAAGTATTTTATCTGTGACTTGTCTCCTTGTTCTCTTGATAGTGTTTTGCAAAGAGCAGAAAAATTCAATTTTAATGAAATACAGCTTACCAACTATTCCTTCATGGGTTGTATTTTCAGTGTTACATATGAAGAGTTATTTCTACATCTAAAGTCATACAGATTTTCTCTTTGGTTATTGTCTAGAAATTTATAATTCTCTGTGTTACAGCCAAGTCTACAATTCATTCTGAGTAAGTTTGTGAGAGATGTAAGGTTCATGTCTAAGTTCATTTTTGGTGTGATGTCCTATTGTTTGAACAGCAGTCCTTGAAAACCGCATCTTTGCTCTACTACTGGCTGCTTCTTTGTGAAATATCACTTGACTATATTTGTGTGGATCTATTTCTAGGCTCTCAGTTCTGTTCCTTGATCTATTACCTACTACCTCACCAGTATCAAACTGTCTTGAACATTCTACCTTCATAGTAACTCTTGAGCTCACACAGAATAGGTCCTTCAACTTTCTTCTCCTTGAATACAGCGTTAGATAAACTGGGTCTTTTGCCTTTCCATATAAACTATAGAATCAGTTTGCATTGAAAAACTTCTGGAGATTTTGATTGAGATTGCATTGATTCTGTATATCAAGTTGGGAAGAAATGACATTTTGGGAATAGAAACCTTCCTATCCACAAACACAGAATATCTCCCTACTTTTTTGCTTTTTGCCTGATTTCATTCCACACTGTTTTATAGTTTTCTTTATATAGATTTTGTACATATTTTGTTACTTTCAAATCTAAATGTTTCATTTTGAGGTGTGGTGCTAATACAAATTCTGCGGTGTTTTAAATTTCAAATTCCACTAGTTCAACTGCTGCTATATAGCAAGGGGTTGACTTTTGTGTATTTTCCTTATATCCCGGTACATTTTTTTCAGGCTGGCCTTGAACTCATGACAATCCTCTTGCCTCTGCCTCCCAACTGCTCGGGTTTACAGGCATGTGCCACTATACTCAACTGTTAATTGGTACATTTTAGCTCAATCAATCTAATGTGGGGAATCTCTCTGCAGGTGTACAGTAACAAACCACAGGACAGGAAAAATGAATTGCAGTTAAAGTAGAGGTCTGATTTCAGCATAATTTAGACTTTTTTACACAGAGATAAGCAGAATGGAGCTGATTAGAAGACAGATTATTGTGCACTATTCCAACTGATTACCCCATAGTAGTTCATTCTTTTGTGAAAATAACTGATGATCATACTGACCTTGGTCTCATCTAATCCAAGCTTCTTTAGAGACTTTCTGACATAATCCAGAAAGGAAGAGCATTTGGAATAAATTTTACCAACATGCTGATTGCTGCAAAACAAAGGTGAATTTTTTCTTTTTAGTGTTCCAAGTTAAATTACAGATAAACTTAAATTCAAACATGAACTGTTGAAAAATATCATGTGAGTATAAGGCAAGAAATCCAGATTGATCAAAAAGTAGTAATACTTTGTGTCCATTTTAAAGTGATATAAAGCACTCAAGATCTACATCTGAGAATTCTTACACCACACAGCCGTGGAAGATAATATTAGAAAGACATGCTACGAAGAAGTTTTAAACATAGTATTGTAGTATGGCTTTCAACAGTTTCCATTGTGCTACAAAATACCTTTTAGGTTTACTGGCTTATCATTACAATGCACATTTCACCACAACACCTGCTAATAGCGGCAACAGTTCAACTCCTTTGGTGCCACCAGATCCAGCACCATATGCTGAGCTGTGTCTGACTTGATGGTACTTATGCCTGACAGATTTTCATTACAGTTTAAAGAAAGTATCTTGAAATGCTCTTGAATTTAAATAGTACTATGTTAGACTATCACATTTCCTAAGTTTGGCTGCAGTTTAAGCATCATGTTTAAAGGTTAGAAAAAATCACCACCCACAAGTTATCAAAACAATGAATTAAAAACCTCATTTACTCTTGGAAGAATTAATATTAATCCTTAAGGTTAATGAGACATCACATTCTATCAATTTTTCCTTTGAAATATATTTCAAACATATTCCATCAGCCTCATTTTAAGATGACTAGCCTCATTTCTACTTCTTATTACACTATGTCCTGATAAACACAACTATTTCCTAATTCAGACCTTCACATGTAAAACCTTAATGCAGTATATAAGCCATGTTTGATCTCGTTCTCCTTCAGTTTCTCCAACACGCTTGTATGACACTGCCTCCTCGGCAGTACTGGCCTTCTCTCCGCATCTTGAGCACACCACACTTTTAGCTATAAACACTATTCCTGGAGCATTCTACTTTCCATCTTTTTGCCTTAGGGACCCCAAATTCCTTCTCTCAGACCCTGTCTTCAAGGTTGCTCCTTAGAGAAACCTCTTACACTCCAGATGAAGCTGGGATTCTGATACATTTCCTTTACATACTTTTTATTTGTTTTTCTGATTTTTCTTTCCCTTTATATTTTGTGCCACTTGTTTCCTCAAAGGAGGTGAATAAACCCAAATGAACAGAAAATATTAGAATGTGTATATCTATTTTATCCTTTTTAATTTCAATTTTTGAGTTTACTATAAAATCTACACACTAGTACAGACATTATATCACCTATTCATTTTATGTGCATGCTTAAAAATGTTTATTGACAAAGTTGTGGAGTTTAAAAGTATTTCCGAGATAACTAAGTGGTTAGAGAGCAGTTGCTCAGGAATATATTCCCAGACCGTAGTACAATGACTCACACAAAGTAGCATCTCAATACATGAATTATCTAATTAAATAAATATTACTTAATATTTATTAAAGAAAAGCTAGGCTTAACTCTATAAATAAATGTAATTTAAAATACTCAGAGCAACTACTGAATAAATATATAAAAAATAAACAATATATGTTGTTATCAGATAATATTTACTTCACAGTAATCATGTGCCAGTGTTTCTTAAATCTTCTGCAGCCCTAAATTATTTAATCCTTACAATAGCAACAAGTGCTTAGGTTTCATTACTATCCCATTTTAAAGATAAAGTACAGATGGGTTAGGTAAACTGCCTAGGTCTGGCTTCAGAATTTAGAATATTAGCTAGTAGTCAATGCTATATCCAGCAGAGTATGAATAGGATTTATACTCAATGTTATGTGGCAGTGAATAATGATCACCTCTGTGCCACAGTAAATAGATGCAGGCATTGTTCCATGATAACCTACCAGAGTGTGAACCAAAAATAGAGACAGTTTAAATTTAAAAGAATATGTCACAATAAAAGACATTGCCATTAATCGACCCCCAAATACTCCAGCTCACTTTGAATACATTTACTGTTTATGCCACTTTGTAAAGCAGTTCTGGAAGGCTGCGCTTGTATCTTTAGTTGAGCTGTTGTGGCTACCTCCATGTCCTGAATCAATTCCAAACATTTTCCTTTCATGGTCATTTTGACTTTAGGGAAGAGCCAGAAATTGCTCAGTGGCAGATCTGGCAAATAAGGTAAATGAGGACACACTGCAAGGTGTTTATGAGTGTGACTTCACTTTAGGTGGCACCCACGTGCAACATTTTACCATTTTTTGGGTCATACCTCATAAAGACACAAAGAGGGTTCAGAAAGTAGTAAGAATGACGGATAAGTGTGTTCAAATTGAGGGAGAGTATTTTGTGGGGGATTAGTGGAAATGTGTCTTTGACTGCAATAAAGTTTTAAAATTCAACCATTCACTGTGTATTTTGATCACTCCTTGTATTGCTGCAGAAAAGCTATATTGACTCTTCTGTTATACTTCAGGAAAAAGGAGTCTTAGTGCTTTATTACAACAATAATATGCTGAACAATTCTAGTAACTAAAAATGATATGAGGGGATAAGGGAATACACATGTGGCCAGAGGAAATTGGTTCTTTCCAAGTTTTTATTGCTAGACTTACTAGTCAAACATCAGAAGTTATGGCTAGTCAGAAATATTTTGATTCTTTCTAAATGGTATTCATGTTATATAGTGTGTTCATTCACTTAAAATATTTACTGAGTTGCTGTATGTGCATGATAGTGTAGTGGGTAGCACAAATTTTGAACTCAAGCCTAAACTGGGTTTCAATTCTTTGTCTATCACGTATTAAACATTTGGCTTCTCACTGATCACTGGCAGAACAGTTAAACCTATCTCATAAGGTTGAAGATAATAAAGTATTCTCTCTCTCTCTCTCTCTCTCTCTGAAAGAAGCAAGCAAACAAATAAAAACTTCAGATCAAACCTTACTCTGGTATTGTATCCTAAAACTATTTACTATAATATGGTATCAAGTGAGATGAGTGTCATGCTAGGGATAAATTGAATTTTATGAGCTTTTATGTGACTCTAATAATATTCACCTGATAGTTGTTGAAAGCTGTGGTACCTCAGTTCATGAACTCTCTGGTTGGTGAACAACTGACTTCACAAACAAAAGCATTTGGCAAGGTTTGATTTTTGTTTGCAAACTCTACATGGGCTGACAAACATGACGCAGCCACCTTGCCCACAAAGACACAAATATAGCCATCTTTTCCAAAATCATGGAATAAATTAAACTCACGAACTGAGGTACCACTGTATTATAAAAATATATATATATATTGTATTTTATAGGAAAATAATATGCAATTAAGTAATTTACTGCAATGAGTTACAGGAAATATGAGACACTTTCAAGAGCAAAATTTTGCTCTGAATGGTTCCTCTCTATGTTGTCTCTTTATATTATGGATTTTTTCTATGAATTATTAAACCATGAATCCCCTGGTTTTTGGCTCAGAAAGTGTGGCACCATGCTGGACAAAAGGTGGCTGTTGCCAGCAGACCATGTTGCTGAATTAGTTCTAGTATTGTTTAAAGCCCTTCTGAGAAAGGGTAAAGGTACCACTCTTCTAATTTTCCAAGTATGTTCCCAATGATGTTTATTTTTTTATTTTTAATTTTAAAATTTTATTTTTAAAAAAAAGAAGGAAAACACATTAACAAACAGACATCCATTTACAAAATAGCATAAGAACAAAACAAGCAATACCAAGTTACAGACAAAGTGGTAGGAAATTAACAATGGTTGTTATATTACGTATTGATATCTTCAAACCACTTCAAAGTGGTTTCTCAGGGAAACAAATAGAAACATGTAAGATTGATCAAGTAAGTAATCATTAACTGTTCCTTTCTGTAAAGTGATAGAAGTCAGCAGTACAACTATGTTAGCTATCCTGTATATAGATATATACATACATAATTTCCCCTTCTTTCTTTTCTCTTTTCCCTCACCCCAGTTGCTCTTTACTTTTAAGCATTTTCTTTTCATTTCGCAATGTCTATCATACCTTCTAATTTTTATTCACTCTTTCAGGTTCTTACACTAGTGAGACAGTATGTTGCTTACACATGGAGGTCTGGTTTATTTCAAAAGAAAGATAAATTCGAGGCTTTTACTCGTAAATGGTCACAACTAGAGACTATACCCAATAATATTTAATGGATAGTAATCTTTTAGACAGTATGTCTCTGTCACTTTACTGAATGAATGTGTTCCTTGACAGTAGGGTCTACAGATTATTTGAGACATTATCTGCAAGGTCTAAGAATGTACCTAGATCCCAAGAGGTAATGCCTAACACAAAGTAGACTGCGCAGCGAATAAAGGAATAGGGTAAGAGAAAGATTCAAAACACAATCCAAAGTGTCTCTTTGCCCACTAAGAACTTTTTCACACACGCTTCAGGAATGCTCTTATTTTAATTAACCAAACTGTCTTTAAAAAGTGTATAATACCACCATCGCCACTACCAATAACAACCAAATCTAGCCAATACAAAAAAACAAAACAAAAAACACCAGGAGTGAGAGATCTAAATTTAGCATAAAGTGACTCCTTAGAGCCTCAGTATTCTCACTGGGAGAGTAGAGCTGAAGTGGAAGTATCATTTACTTCACGGAGTAAAATAAGACATAAAGGAGATAATTCATGTGGAGGATCTTAGTAATCTGTAAAGTACTACAGATAGGTTAGATAATATTTATTTTGGTAATGTCAGTGTACTGGTATTTTATTTATTTATTTATTTATTTATTTATTTGGTTTTTCTCCGGTACCAGGAACCGAACTCATGACCTTGCGCTTGCCAGGCAGGCGCTTTGCCGCTGAGCTAAATCCCCAGCCCTGGTATTTTATTTTTTGAGTAAGCCCCTGGAATTGTTCTGGTTTTACCTACTGCTTGTACAAGAAATTTTGTTTAGTCTTTCTATAAATACACAGTGTCCACTTAGGTAATGCAGTAGGTTTACCTATAGTGATTTAAAGCAGGATTCTTCATATGGGTACAT